AATTTTTTTTGAGTTTTTTTTTATTTAGGGGGTTTTTTTTTTTTTTTTTTTTTTTTTTAACAATCTTCTATTCGTGCTGAAAGCAAATAAATTATCAAAACTAACTTTTCAAAACCAAACTCAGAAACAAGAAACAAGATTTCTGAATTTTCTCGGACATCCAAAAACAGATTTTTAAATCTGTCTAAATATATCTGAAAATCCTCTAATTTGAAAAGGAATTCTTAAAACTCCTGAAAGGTGTTCCATTTGCTCGTACTTCCCGTAACTCCGTTTGATGCCGGATAAAGGAAATCTCCGAAAATCCTCAAATTTGAAAAGGAATTCTTAAATATTGAATTTATTTGTTCAGTTCTTATATCACAAAAAATAGCAAAAAAGTTTTTTTTCCGACCAAAAAAAAAATATATATCATAAATGGAGGAATCATACAGAGAACCCAAATCCAGAAAAAGAAAATCTTGATTGTTGGGGAGAAAAGATCTAAGAAAAATCAAAATCCAGATACTTGGATCCAAGAAAATTTTGAGAATTTATATATACCTCTGCATGCCAATCTGAATAAGCTCATTGATAGAGGATTCCAACCCCTCTCGATCTTTTTTTTTCGTTAACATTTTAACCTCCTGAACCACATGAATCCCCCAACCCGACTTCAGATCCGGCGCATACATGTGCCGAATCGCCGATTCAATAACCCCTTTCGTTTCCTCGTCCGCCGCTGCCAAATCCTCCACGAATCTCCTCACAGATCTCATCCTCAGTTCCCTCGCCGTCACCCCACCTCCCATCGATCTACTTGCCGCCGTGAAAAGGCAATTCCCATCCGCCTCCACCTCCCCTCCATGGCTAAGCTTAAACACAATAATCAAGCTCTTGTCCTCTGGGTGCTTCCACAAAACTCCCTTATTGTAAAGCCTTGTCAAATGCTTCTTCTGCTGGTCCTCTAATCCCCGCACATTTTCCCATGATATAATATTTTCCGGCACAGGCGTTGACTTTCCAACAATTTCCCCGACGGCGACAGTGGCGGCGGAGTCTAAGGAAGATGGGGTAGTGGTGGGGTCATGCCACGGGATCACCGGAGATGACGCCGTGGAATCACAGATCAACTTTCCCATTTTGTCCACAAAAATTTCTTTTCTATATTCAGTTTCTTGCTTTTCTTTCTTTTTTATTTTCTTCTCCTTTTTCTTTTTTTCCTTTTTTTTTTTTTTTTGTTTTTTTGGGTACTTTTTTTCTGAAAATATAGAGACGTTGTGGGCGGGTGTAGAGAGAGAATTGACAGAAGAAGAGGGATTGGGTTAACGGATAGATTTTAATTTTTGGCGTGGGTGCTAACGTGAGCCGGGTGGACCAATCTCTCATCTGAGCCTGGTTATCGGGACACCTGTCATGATGTGATTGGATATTCTTTGTTACAATCATCTACTTGTACAATACTTTTTTACAATCTTAATTAGAATAATGATTGTGGTACATCGAGGTGTCCAACGGGGTGTCTACAGTATCGGCCGAGGCGCTTGTGGGCCTCGACATTCGAGGCGCTTGTGGGCCTCGACATTGCAGGCACCTCGGCCAATGTCAAGGCACTGGGTGTTCATTTTGGACACCTCAATGTACCCATAGCATGATTGTCTTAATTAACAACGCACTTGACAACATCATAATTATCTAATTTAAAAACTGTTATTTAGACAAGGTTGTCAACCATGATTATCAACGACAATTGTACAAATAGCTTTATTCTATGAATAATTCTCGAAGATGGAGGACTGGTTGTGACGGGTTGAGGTTTTGTTCTGCTGTGGATGCTTCACGCCGATATAAATGGGTACGATGAAGAATGTCTATGACAAATGGATTGGAGTTTTGTTACGTATACAGCTGAGCTTACTTAAAAGATGACATATTTCAGTGACAATTTGTGTATTAGTTGCAATTAGAATAGCCCATTAGATAGAAGATTAATAGTAACATCGTTCATTTATTGTGGAAATTTGACTTTCTTTAAAATAAAATAATTTTTTCATACTTATATTTAATTATACGTTCACATAATAAAATAAATTTAAAATTTTTTTATACTTTTTAACCACACATTCTTTAAAAAATTATTTTTTAAAACATCATTTTTACATAGTAATGATCATCAAACAAGGGGTTGTCCTTATTTAATGATTATGGAAAATAACAAGAAAATTGTTGAAAATTATACTAGGAATGTGGTTTAATTATAATTTATTTGGTAAAATTTTTATTAAATTATAAGTTATAGGCCCTATAAAATGTGAATCGGGCTCAGTTCTAAAAATTTTGAGGTTCTAGACAATAAATTATCATGAGGCCCTACATATAATCATTGTTTGGTCACCATTATTTCCAAAATACACTTTCCTCTCTTATTTTCAATCATATATTTTTCAATATGATAATATTACACACAAATCCAATTTTTTTTAACCATGCATTCTCTATCAAATAACTATTTCAAAATGTATTATTGGCCCAAAAAAAAAAGGGGGGGCTCAAACATGCTCATAATTTTTTTTTTTTAACAAACGTTTAGCATCAAACAAGCTGAATGAAAGGGTTTTTCGTGATGAGGAATTATATCTGTGGTACTCACCCACTGTTGGATTCATTTTAGAATCAATTTTCATGTTCAATAAATAGAATATAAAGGATTTTTGAAAACTAGTGAGGTTTTGTTGTGTTGAGTACCATTTATTGTCGAATAAAATTCTATATTCAAAATATAGAATTCAAAAGCAGCAATAAGAACAAAAAAATAAAAGACACTATAGAATAGAGAGAATGCCTTTTACTTTATTTGCATCACGTCTTCATGAAAATATTTAATATAAGAAAAAATTTACAAATAATAATTTTTTTGGGTTTTTAAATTTTTTTGAGACCCTTATAACTCGAGGTCCAAAGCCACTATCTACGTGGTCTTTGACAGCACTAATCCTAATATGAATAATAAGTGGGTAATATTTTTTTATAATTATTGAATATGTGATAGAAATAGAATTCGTCATGTTTATAAGTACTTACACCAACGTGCAAGCACGTATACCACATTTGATAAAGTGATAATGACAATATTTAATTGCATGGTTTGTAAAATGTGGCACACAAAAATAGTCACAATCCAAGTTTTTCGAAGAAAATAATCTTGAGAAGTTGGGACATAAACATTCCAATTGGAAACAGGCTGGTGAGATTAAAGGGCCAAGATTTGGTAGGTTATGTTATACTTATAACCCAACCCACTACA